GTTTGCGAAAGTTGAGATATCAGTGATGTGCATGATAATCAGCTGTAGTGAACTCGAAGCCCCGCAACGAATGGAGGAGAGAGAGAGACAGATAGAGAGAGAGGACGTTCGGTGCAGGCAATTTCCCCGGGCGATGCCCATCCGATGTTCCATCAGCTGTAACCACTGCGATGGGATGTGGTGTTCCAAGAAGAGTACGGAGTGGGGCCCCGTTTCTATGTGCAACAGTCGCATTCAGGATTTGTAATCCTAAAATCCTCTTCGCTTATCCTGTGAATTCGGACAGTAACGAAGATTTAGACGTTTTCTTCCAGCTGTAAACTTTAAGGTTTCAAACTTATTGCGCGATGGACCCATTGGTTACACTATGTTCGGTACTCACATTTTTCTTTGTCATATTTGACTGCTTATGGCAATTTATTAGGTAACGACACACATGACATAAGATTCGGAACGTGTGCTCTTTGGAGTACTCTGAAATTCCAAAGTCTCAATCGGTTCTGGTGATGTCAGGGGTTTGCTTCGTTTCTGATCGCGGCTTATAACACTCTTGCTCGAAAGTAGTGCATCCGACAATTTTATCAAAGGCAACTATGTGAACCACGGTGAGAAGTAAAAAAAAAACCAGGAATACGACGTTCCATCTGTCATAGTTGTAAATATTTAAGAAAGAGAGTTCTTCGCTGTAATTTGCTTGTTTCTTGTTTGTGTAAATGTCAGTTCTTGTCATTAAGGCTGAGGGTGTCTGACAACAGGGTGCTGGGAAGAACATCGGGATGCAACAGGGAGGAAGGAACACGAGGCTGGAGACATTACCTAATGAGGAACTTTGTAGTTTGTAGTCCTGCCACACACTGCTATTAGCGTGATAAAATGAAGAATTTTAATAACGTTAATGAGAAGATTAGATTCGAAGCACGAAACCACCGAGTGGTTGGCGCTCCTGGTTCGTGTTTGTGGTTTTTCTCAGTTTCTCTCTCAAAAAAAGCTCCGGGGTAGATCCTTCAGTTGGACCACGCCCACTTCTTTAAAATCCTTCCGAACAATTCTTCCTGATCACCCAACGCTCGACGTAATTTAGTCTGAGCCAACCACAACCTCTTTAAATTAACCACGAATCAGACCGACTGTGTTTTGTGCAGTTAAAAAGCAGCGATTCTGAGAATCTGCAGGCAGCTCGTTGCAGGATAACAGTAGAAGCCAGATTTGTGCTTTCTGAGCGTTGCAGATAAAACAGCGTCCCCGAATATGAACATTCCTCAGAGCGGCTATATGTCTCTTTCATAACCTCATTCTTTTGTAAGATGTCAGTGCTGCCAACGGCGCAATTTTTTTGAAGAATGTTTGCCGTGTAAGCCCATGTATCGAGGCCAGGGGAGGAGTCATCGCGACGCGTTACGATGTCGCGTTTCCGAATGGATGATGGCGTGAGTAAGGAGGATGTGGAGTGGCAACTGCAAGTTTGCTCGTCACTCTGTGTCACTCCTGTCAGAGGCAGATGCTCTCGGGGACGCTTAGCCGACCGCAGAAATGAACAGGCCTGCCTCTGTTTCGTGATGGCAACTCGACGCTGTACCTTTGTGTTCTTGTTATGTGTGTTGCAGATGTTATTCGCGCTAATTATGAATGTCTGCGCTGTGTCTGTCAGTACAGAGTTGTGCTCAGATGTCTTGTCTGTGAAGGTAGCTTACAACTCCTAATGATTTAAAAATTGTAACCCAGACAGTGCAACACCTTATTTCACCTGAAGCCTCAGTACTGAATCCCAGGGCTTGATCGTGAATTGCGTTTTATGTGGAAGGCGGAGGGAGATGCAATTGTGCGCTGGGGTTGTTTAGACGCAAATGTTTCTCAGCGGAGAAATGGTAAGAGTGACGGACGGAGAGACCGAAGCTTGAGCTGGGTACACGACGTCAGTTAAGAAAAACTTAGATTGTTTATGCTCTAACGAAATCGTGTGATAGATTCAGTAATTTCGAAAAAAAAAAAATGTTTGTTGCAAGATCACTTGCACGGAACAGTAAAACAAACACTCTACGTAGCTTATGATTACTAACTCCATGCAGTGGGGTGTTTTGTGATAAGCTGATAGTTTCTCACGTGATCAGTAACGTCGTCCATTCATAGGGAACACGAGGATTCATTACCGTGTCCACAAAACCCCAAACTGAGTCAGATAAATTCAGTCAAACCCTCTCACCCTATTTAATTCAGTCAATTTTAATATTATCCTCTCACTCATATGCGCTTAGGTCTCCGATGCAGTTTTTGTCATGTTCTTGTGGTACGACGCCGAATACAAAGAATCGGCCGGATTCCAAGTCATGACGTCATGTGTCGACATGATCCGGTGTTTTGTCAATTTCCTCTTATTCACGCTTAGCCCGCGGTTGGTGGATTCACTCTCTCAAGTGCAGGAACAGTGGCGACACCAAACAACTCTTGCGTCATCGTTTTGCTCCGGGAGAGAGTGAGCATTGCCTGTTGGCTCCAGCCCAATTTCCGGAGATCGAACCTAACAGCTAAGCACTCTGCCTATGTGCCAGGGGATAGCAAAATGTGCGTTGCGCGCACTCAGACGCAAGTAGGCGAAGAGTCCGTTTACTTTAAACAAATCGCCAAGTTACGACGACGAAATGTAATTAATTACACATAACCTTGTTCTCAACTTGTTTCATTAGCGGATTTTCTCGACTCTTAGACACCTTCAAATGTAAGACTAACCCGGATTTAAGAAAAATTGAAAATGTGAAAAAAAGCGTTCTAGAATAGAGGAAATGCCCTGGTGAAGCATTCTCGTCGCCGGCCAACAAAACAGCTGTGGACGTGGCTCAGTTTTGCACTGCAGCGGAGGCTGGGGCTTAGAAATGTAAGGATTTCATTACACACCGGCGCAGGAATGTGTCGTGGCGTGTTATTGGAAGGCGGTGCGGATATGTGGTGCAGTGGGTTGAGGTAACTCGGGCTGTCAGGGGTGGACATTTATTTGTAACCATGGGCCAGATGAGGCTATGCTGAAGCGACTCTGCTTCTCCATTGATATGTACTTTAAATAATTAATGTTGTTGCAATTAACGAAGCGACTTAGTGTCTGAACCTCTCAGCGGGAAGCAGGACTTTTCTTCCTGTCTCCTGTTTTAGGGATTTGATTTGATGTAGTTCGGATAATTCGAATGAATAATTAAATTTCCAATTGCTGTGGTTCCCAAAATTAAAGGCAGCCTTTGATGGCTCTACGTATCTCTGTAATCCCAATATTTTTAATAACTCATAACTAATAACCCACATCGTGGCTCTGTGTGTCAGGACGAGCGACGTGGCTCAAAATCTATTTTATTTTTACATCTCCAAGTACGTTGCATCACAGAGCTTGTTCCTGGAGTAACAGCAGCTTCGAAAAACTGCATAATTCAATTCACTTATTAAAGTGTTTGCCATCAACGAGGAGCCAATGACAGGAAAACACTGATAATACAAACACATACAAAGAAACTGAATGTAATGTGTAGACTCGTAACTTCACTCGTCCACAAATCCCGTTAGGATTTGTTTGTAAAGGAGGTTGAGATGGGTTGTGCGTGTAGGTCTCATTGCGCAGGTAAAGGGTTTTTTTGCACAGTTTTAGTCGATAAATCTGCAGGTAACAGTCAATTTGTTAGACCTAGTCGTTGCTGGTGGGTCGGTATTAAAGTAAGTCGGTAGTGGATAGCGGCGTCAGAACTTATGAGACCGCATATTCACTGCTGTGAGAACGTCTTAACCCTGAAGCACCCATTGGTAACCTTTGTATAGCCGCTTGAACTTTGTATTCGTGAACTGTTGTGTTTTCTTTGCGGTACGGGCCGAATTCCTTAATATTCGTCTTAACCAAGTGGAACAGTGTGTGAGAACGTGGACTGAATTCCTTCGGCCGAGGATGAGGTCAGGTGACGGGTTACATAAATGACGGCGAGTTTATTGACTGGCTGAGCGACTGTTAGCTTTTTAGAGTCTCTGAATTTGAATTGATAAACTTCTAGGTAATAGAGACTTACAGACTGTGCGTTGCAGTGTGCGACACGCCTGCTTAGTTTTTGTGGTACTGAAGATGAGATGGCCCTCTCTCCTTCCTCTCCTCTCCTCTCCTCCCAGTTCCATCCAACAGGCACTGTGCAGGTAAACCGTTTGATGGGAGTAGCCGCTGGCCACATTACGCTCCATCCGGGGCTCGCTAATTCGCCGAGATCACATTTGTCCATGAAAAGGGCACAGTTCAGTTACCGAAGACAGCGCCACAACAGCCGGCCTTGCGAGGCGCTGCTCTGGTATTCTAGGGCAGGAAATTGCTTAAAAATACTGACAATAAGATGCCCTTGTCTTATTAGTTAAAGTTATAAAAAAACTGTACACTCACATGCGGTGATAACATTAACTTTTTTTTACGCAGACGCTAAGCGCCGCTTCAGACACCCAGAGGGCTTATTGTAGGGCCTGCGTGATATGTGGGGGTGAACTGGGTTAAGCTGGCTTAGGATAAATCCTGTGATAGGTTCTTGTGAACGTTGAGGTCCCCACAAAAGGCGGGAAATTTGTTTTACCGGCTGAACGACAGTCACATTTTCATGGGGGATTTCGCTTCGTGGGGTTGGTTTGTTAGCATAATTACATAAACAAATAGCTTGGTAAGTGCAGACCAGTGTGAAACATGTAATTATGTAAAATTTTAATTAGTGGCAGAAATTTAATTTTTGTGGTGATCGTATGGAGAGCTTGATTTATATGCGTGCAATAAATATTGTTGTTCTAGCTATTGTTTATTGCCTGAATATGTTGTTAACAAATTGTGTAAGTTCAGTTGCTGGGTTCATGTTTTGGTTTGCGATCCCGTAAAGAATCACATTACTGGGTTCCGCAAACTTTAGGAACTTTGCCGTGTGTGAAGATTTTTTCTGGTAAAGATAGAATAGCAACGCATCTAATCTGATACTTGTCTGATTGACGTCTCACTGATTCTCTTTCAGGTTCGTTGGCTGACGGTGAGTTACCTGCCTTACGCCTTCGGAAGAACAAAGCTGAAGAGTTTCTACTCAGGCCGTCCAGTTATGGTACGTCCTTAACAGATTACATGTCAACATACAATGGTTTTATAATCGGAGAAAGGAATTTGCGAATTCTTTGCGTACTGAAGCTGTGGGAATAAACATCAGAAAACACTTATGTTAATAAATGATTAATGTCGAATTCGCCATGTAGCAGTGGCGGCCTGCGTTATTTGTTGTTCGTGTTTTAAAGCAGCGAGGTTAAAAGTATCGGTTACTTGTGTTTTAACGTCTGTGTGGGTGTTACCCCTGATGATGACCTCTTTCTGATAGGTTGAAGCGTGTTTGGCACGTGATACGTGCAATTTATGTTGATGTGGTTTTGATGCTAATAACTGTGTGTTTCGAAAGCAGTATGCCTGATTTGACGTCTTAATTAGCATATCGCTGTTAAAGTAATTAACAGAAACCATAAAAATTTCGTACACAGCCTAATATTAACACCGACGGTCACAAGCACCAGACAGTCGTAACCTTTGACACTGTTTGGCCTACAAATTAAAACATAGGAAGGTGAAAATGTCGTTTTATAGGTTTTGTAATAGTCCCTAAATCAGAGCAGGACCACCAAATGCACCTGGTCGAACTATTGACTCTGACCTGTAGCTGTACTTTATTTCAACTATAAAGCCAATAATCGTTAGTCAAAAACACGGTTGTACCAGCTGCAACACAGAAACTGAATAAGGCAAACCCATTTATTACCTTGCAAGAACGTTTACAGAATTTATTTTGTCGTTAAGCGGAGACCGACGTGTTTATATTGTGATTGTCAAAACGCAGGTGTCGGACAGAGCCATCTGTGTTCGGACAAGGCGTCCTAACCGGTTGGAACATTGCCAAGACGGCCGGCTGTCTCTTCCTTCCGACTGCGCTGTTGCGTCAGAACTCAGCCAAAAAGCGTGAAGCGCCCGTGCTTTTGCGTTGTCTACAATATAAAACTTTTCCTTTCCTCCCGTTGTCTCTGTTTGTTGTCTGGTTGCTAGGCGACCGGAGGCGGTTTTGTAATGCTCGAAGTGATCATTACGAGGCGCCTCGACGGTGAATGATTGAGAAGATTCTGTTGGGCGATCAACCGTGAGGGGATGGAGTGCTTGATAACTGCGTACTGACACGCACGATTTCCTCCGAAAGCTTTAAATATAAAACGTTTGATGTCACATCCTTTCGCGCAGTTCCGCGAATATACAGTCATAACATTGCGATTTTAAAGCAAGCGGTTTCATGGAAGTTATTTAGGTGCAGTTTATTTCAAAAAATATTCTGGCGAAACACGGGGACTTTATGTACTTTTATATTAAATTGGTGTATACGTTTGACATATTTCCGAACTTTAAAAAGAAGCGGATTCTAGTCTTGTGTGTGTGTGTACGACAAATTTGGAAGAAAACATTACTGTCTTGACCCCTGAAGATGGAGACGGTACGTTCCGCACAAGGCTACACGAGGTCACTCTTACGCGGTGCAAGGACGCTGGTCGGTCGCTCGTAGCAAACCTCTCCTCCTCTCACGTCACACTCGATGGGGTTTACGACATCGTTTGTGTCGGCCCACAACCAGATGGGTTCAATTACCGGATCCCGATGCTTTGACATATTTGAATAAATATTAATTAATGTTTACTTTATGTAAATGTCAAATCAAATTCGTTTCTGTCCGCATTTGGCTCCTACCTCGTGACAGTCGAAACATGCACATTGAATGGAATGTAATATTTCATAAAACGTTTATACGTTATGGCAACACTTCCCTGTCTCATGAAATACGTAAAGGTGGGGGGGGGGGGGG